TCTCAAACTGATTCTAACAAAAAGAAGTCATTTTTCGGACAAAAGTTAAATTTGAAATTTACACCAAGTCAAGGTCCACTTAAGCCAAGGTTTCTCGATGGATTCAATTTCACCCTTAAAATACATACTTGGAACTCCAACCAAAATCCTTCTCTTGTTTACTCTTGTTTTTTGTCCAGCATTCCGAATCGCCTATCAGTCCATTTACGGTATTTCACTTTGTAATTACACGACAAAGGAATCGACATTTGATTGCGTTCATCACACTGTAAATGTAATCATTCTGTTGCTCAAAGTTTTGTTGATTTCGTTTGGCTTTAGTTTGGATTATTTTAAAAAATTCATTTCCACCATTGCACTACTATCCATCGATACTGATAGTTCAGCTGTAAGATCGATCAAACGAAATGTTCAATTAAATCTCATCATTCTTGTTATACCTTTCATCGGTTACACCATTCTAACCATATTTTATATGCTATCATATACTCAGAATATTGCTAAATCCATAGTTATTTTGCTAATCATCAGTGAACTTTTCATCGAGTTCGGAGTATTATTCCTTCTCATCATGATTTGCAACACTTGCATCTATTTACGGGCTGCTTTTAATAAAGTCAATTCACAAATTGCTACTCTAAATGAAACATCTAACCAACTGTTCACTCGATCATTCCATGAAATAAGGAATTTAAGGAAAAGATACAGTTATGCGGTTCGATCGACACAAAATGCTGAGAAGTTTTTCCGTTTCTTCATAACTTTATTTTACATTAAATATTTTTTTTATTGCATTATCAATATTGTTAAATCCTTTGCCCCACAGACAAAAATTGACCTGATTTTTTTTGTAGCCATACTCATCCAAACTATCCAATTGCTAATCTTGACTTATAATTTGGTCTCAGTGAACAACTTATCTCGTCAAGGAATGGAAGATTTGTATGAACTTTCATTCAAATTAGACTCGATTCATTTATACCATGAAGTAAGTCAATAACATAATCACTTGCAATTTGAAAATTAACTTTTCAATTTTTCTCTTAGAATGACATCTTTATGGCTCGAATGGCACTAAGTGATGTTGGCTTTACTTTCGCCAATCTCTTTACCATAAACAACAGTTTCATTACTTCATTATTTACACTTTCATTGACCATTATACTTGCCTTAGCAAGTTTCATTTATCATTGATAATCTAAGAATTGTAAAAGAATAAAAATTTCAATAATTGTTTAATAGTCCTAAATAATCAAACGGATTCTGAGAATTGATTTAATCACTTATTTGTCTAAAAAGGTTTGAAATCAGTTAACCAATCCTGTTAGCTTAAAAACTATAGATTAAGTGATTAGCTACATCGTATTTGTATTGCTAGTTAAAACATAAATCTTTGATTGTCGAGCCCTGGAATCTCATTGAGTCTGGCCAAACTTATTAACACGCCTTCCTCAAAGTGATTCGAACGAAAAGAAATCATTTTTCGGGAAAAAAAGTTAAAAGTTAAAGTTGAAATGTTTTCACCAACAAGTTCAAGTCCACCCAAGCAAATGATTTTCGATGGATTCATTCTACCTGCAAAATACATACTTGGAAGAGCAACAAAATTCTTTCTTTTGTTTTCTCTTGCTTTTTGTCCAGCTTTCCGAATCGCTTATCAATCCATTTACGGTATTTCTCATTGTAATTACACGACGAAGCTATCGATCTTTGAATGCGTTTATACCACTGTTTCTGTAATCGTTTTGTCTGCTAAAATTTTGTTGGCTTTGTTTAGTTTTAATTTGGATTATTATAAAAAATATGTTTCCAACATCGAATTACTTTCCATCGAAACTAATACTTCAGCTGCTCGCGCGATCAAAAGAAATCTTGGATTGAATCTCATCATTCATGTTATACCCTTTATTGGTTACATCATTCTAAGTCTGTTTTATATGTTTTCATATTATCAAGATATTCCCAGATCCGTGATTATTTTGCTAATAATCAGTGAATTCTTCATTGAATTTGGAGTATTATTCCTTCTCAATATGATTTGCAACACTTGCATCTATTTACGGGCTGCTTTTAATCAAGTCAATTCACAAATTGCTACTTTAAACGGTACATCTAATCAATCGTTCAATCATTTATTCGATGAAATAAGAAATTTAAGGAAAAGTTACAGTTATGCGGTTCGATCGACACGAAATGCTGAGAAATTTTTCCGTTTCTTCATAACTCTATTTTACATTAAATATTTTTCTTATAACATTATCAATATCGTTCAATCATTCGGACCTCAGACAAAAATTGACCTCATTTTCCTAGTACCCATACTCATCCAAACAGTCCAATTGATCATCTTGACTTATAATCTGGTTTCAGTCAACAACTTGTCTCGTCAAGGATTGGAAGATTTGTATGAATTTTCATTCAAATTAAACTCACTCCATTTATATCATGAAGTAAGTCAATAACATAATCTCAATCAATTTCAAAAATCAACATTTTATTTTTCTCTTAGAATGACATCTTTATGGCTCGAATGGCATTAAGTGACGTTGGCTTTACTTTCGCCAATCTCTTTACCATCAACAACAGTTTCATTACCTCATTATTTACACTTTCATTGACCATCATACTCGCCTTAGCAAGTTTTATTTATCATTGAAGAAAAAATAATTGTAAAAGTATAAAAATTGATATTTAATAAATAATTCTAAACAACCAAATTGAGGTCAGAGAATTGATTCACTTGGGCGTTTAAACATTATTATTATCAAATGGTTAATTGAAAGCTAAATCGAATGAACTAATTCTGTTACCTGAAAAGTAAAGCTTCATTGAAAGACAATGATAAGTACAATAACAGAGATCAGTAGATCAGTTGTTAACATCAATATTGTATGTGCGATAGCTTCGTCGTTGGAGAACGAACGATTCTGTACATTTTTTCATTCTTCAGTCAACTTCAGGCAAGAAATCTAAATAACCCATCGAAGTTCAAGCAATCATTTATTGCAATCTTTCATGCTTATTTCTCACTGTTATAGCACCCTGAGTGTTGCAGTCTGTGCCTTCTGTAAATTTTTCTGTACAAATGAATGCAAATTGGATGATAAATTAATAGAACTTTTCTTCCAGAAATTCAATCGTGTATTTGATCAGATTTGCCAGACTAATTATTTAATTGACATTGCGAAATTTTATTAATTTTTCGATCATGAAAAGTGACAATTTTGTTCTTTATAATGTTGAGGAAACAAATAATGACGATGATGAAGATGACAAGAAGTGAATAATCATCAGAGCAATTGATTCCGGAAAAGTGACAAAAATCTTATTTGTCTGATGATTTGCTTTTTTTCAACTTTTCTCAATTTAATCGTCGTTTCCCTCGTGCTTCTCATTTTCATCATCATCATTATTATTTCATGAAAAGAGAGAGAGAGAGAGAGAGAGAGAAAGAGAAGAAAAATGGGGGTTGAGATGAATTCTGATTCTGATGAATGATATTTTCCTAATTTTTTCTTCCTTTACTTTTCAGTTTTCTTGCCTTCTTTCTTCTCTTCTTTTGTAGGTTCTTTTTTTTGCCAAAAAAGTTTGTTACTCATCATAATAACCATAAACAATACAAGAAACAGGACAATATCACGATAAATCTAAATTTATCACCATGGAAAAAGAAAGAAAGGACGAAAAAAGAAGAAAGAGAGAAAAATGAAAATACAAATGTGTGTAGAACTGAAAATATGATTTATCTGATTGGAAACAATTTATTTCATTCACCATTGTTCATCGTATTTATATCTTTTCCTTTGATTCTTTTTATCATTCCCAGTGAAAACAATGCAAAGTTGTCAAGATCATGAACAAGTCTCAACTATTGATAACAAAAATTTGAAAACAATTTCCAGATCTATATATTCATTGAATTTAACTCTTGTCTGAAGCCACAAGAAACTTCATTTCCATTGGTCAACGGCTCAGATGTTTATCCAAGTTCAAAAAGAAAATAAAAATTTATCAAGATATATAATTGGATGAGTTAACATTGAATAAATATTTCCAAAAGTCGAAAGTTCGAACTCTACTGAATTTTCGATAAATCGATTTTTTATGAATAATCATTCCATGCGATTTGTTCTTATTGAATCATTTCTAGAAATTGTAATAACAATTTTTCCATGATTATATGGAAGTTGAACAGAAGCAATTTGATTCCAATTGAAGAAGAAGCACTAAAAGAGTAACGAACTGACTGTGGAAAATTGGTCAAGAATATCATTGAAATTCTTGCCATGAATCAGAATGATGGTCAAAAAATGAAACCTTGATAGACTGTAAACTACAATCTGTAGTGACTAGTCAATAGAAGAGAGTTAAAGGCCAAAAAAGTATATCACTTTCATTGAATTCTTATCTAGAGATGAGTTTCAAATGAAAATTATCATCAATCTAAAGTTTCTTTTTTCACTCTCTTCTTATTGAACTATTTTTCCATTTTCATCATATTTTCATTTTTACACCAAAAGACAGGAGACAATTTTTCAGGCGAACAAGAAGCAGAGAGAGAGAAAAAAAAGTTGCAACCAATTTTGTTGATCCATCAGTTTGCTGGAAACTGTGCAGAGAGTAGAACAGGCAATAGACAAAAAAAACGAGATTCACTCCTAATTACAATCTCAAGTGTGACGATGTGATAAGCTTATTGCTCAGTCAATTGGAAACTGAAACTGAGAATGAAGCAGAGAAAAAAAAAGAAAGTGAAAGAAAAGGAAAGAAAAAAAGTTATTGCTGACATTTTACTTGAAATATGCAATGAAACTCTTACTCAAAGTTTATCACAAATTTGGCTATTAATATTGATAAGATAAATATTCACTCCCAGGTAACAGCTTAATGCAAAATTTGTTTATTCCAATGTTATTAGCTCGACATTTAGAGAGCAAATAGTTTCACCTAAAATGGAAATGAAATTTTTCCAAGTTGCAATTTTTCTTAAAAAAGTCTAATTGTTGGTGAGAAGCAATTTCACTTTTTATTTGGAGACATTTTCATCTTTATTTGATAGAAAAGAGAAAAAGTTTTTTTATCACAAAGTTACATGGTATTTGTACATAATATGAAAAAGTGTGAATAAAGGTGAATCAGGATAACAGTTTGAACAAATTATTTTCGTCCATGAAAATGTTGAGCACAAAAAATTGGTTTGTCAACATTGTGATGAATAATGAATGTGCAGTGGAAAAAGATTTTTTCCTCTTTTTCTCTCTTTATCGGTTGAAACTTTCGATCATTTTTTTTTCTATTTCGGCATTACATGTAAACAATTTGGTAGGCAAAATATGAAAGCTTTTGGATGGTAATTCTGAGTTTTGAAACTTTTCCTTTTTGTTGACCTTTACATGTGGTCTTGAAAGGAGGTTAAATTATTACAATATAGAAACAAAACAATTAACATTTCAATGAAAACAAATAACTTTTCTGATGATGTTTTGAATGTTTGCGAAAAATTTTCGTCTCTTTTTGAAACTTGGATTTCGATTGAATTTTTGATTCGACCAAGTGGGAAAGATGAGAATGCTGATGAAACGTGATTGAAGGATTTCCATCATTTGCTTCATTTCTGCTGAATTCACATTCTGAGAGTTTTAGCCTCATGAGTGTGTCTGATATAACTTCTTCATGGTTGATTCCATTGTAGTGAGTTTTTGCTTTTCTTCCACTTCGGACAAAACCTTTAAGAAAATGAAGAGAGAGCAGAAGAAAAAAAAAGAGATTGAGAGATGAAAATAGAAGAGTGAGCGAGAGAGAAAAGCTCAACATCAATCATCATTAGCTGATGGTTTGTTATCGATTGTAAACTAAATTAGAAGATCTTTTGCTAAGTGCGCAAAGTTGTACTCTGATTAGCTAATTTATTGATTGGTTATCACAGGAAAAACAAAAATAACACACCAAGAATGATAAACCCTTTTTTTCATGCTTTTGGCACAGCAGTAGGGACATGTTATGTGGGAGGTTAAAGAGGATGTAAAAAGGATGATGATGAGAAGGGAAAATGGATAAGATGAAGACTCATCAAGGAAAAATATCACAATATCGACAACAGCAGGGAATGAGCCAGGGAGTGAATGCTGGGAGTGATTCCAGGGAAGGCAGTTGAAAGAGTTTTGTTGAACGAACAAAGCAAGAGTTGAGTTTTATCGTTTTGATTCAGTTTTACCTTCGACAAACCAATTAGTCTTTTTGCCTTGTTAGCTTGTTGTTTAACAGTTTAAACAAAGTTGAACAATTTATCAAGCAAAACAGTCTTTGAAAACCTTTTGTAAGATCATCGAAAATTTTGTAATCTTGTAAGCTTGTTTAAGCCTTCTTTTTGGCTTCTCATTCAACGTTGAAGTTGATGAATGGAAAAATGAAAGTTGATTAACATGCATAATGATAAAGTGCTCGATATTTTCATGTTTACATCATGCGTTGTGAATAAGTATCTGAGAGAATGAAATGAAATTCTAAGTCTTTTATGGATTTTGCAGCTTTGGATGGGTTTCCATCTGAGTTTGAAACTTACTTTTGGTGGAAGATTGGTGATTGGTGATTGAGCATTTAAATTGTTGGTCCCAATTGTACTTTTTTTTTTTACTTTTTGCTTTGAATTTGAGTTCATTTCAATTATTCAAGGCTGGGTGAAACTGAATTTAAATTGACTCGCTTTAAAAATATTGGTGTATCATAGTCGTGATAAGATGTTATCTGACCAGGTGGTCGCGCTAATCGACTCAGTTTGTAAGTTTCATCACATTTGTTACCATACTCTTGGGTTCGATACTCTTCGATTCGGGATAAGGCATAAGGTGAAGGATAATATATTGAGGTTGCTGCTGCATTTGAAGAAGCAACAGTTTGACGACAGCTTCCAAGACCGGCTCCAAGTCCACCTCCAGTTATGTTGACGGTCAGGGTTGGATCACAGGTTGACCTTACTTCGGTGCTTATGGTCTCAGTCTTGTAATGATTTCCACTTGAGGTAATGGGTGAACCTAGGTGGTCGTTGTTGGCAGTATTGTCTATCTTGTAAACACTCTCACCCAGTCCAGCAGAAGTTGAAAGTCCATCTGGATCTGAATGGTTACCTATGAAAGATTTTCTCATTTGCAGGGAGCAAATGACAATAAGTCCCAAGGTCAGGACTCCGAGGCCACAAAGAATTGGAAGAATCAGGTTCAACTGTTGAACAACCCATTTGGAGGTGAAAGTCAACTTGTTTGCTGGCTCATTTTCCAGTTCATTGATTACTGACAAGGGCGGTATAAGGGTTCCGTCTAAGGTCAAGGTGGCAAAAACGTATTCTGCGTCTGTTGAGCCTGCTTCGTTTACTGCTTTCATTAGTAGATTGTACCAAGTGGCTGGACTGAGGTCGGTAATTAGATAAGGACTTGAGTTTACGGGAACGCCAGTGGAACTGGAAAGCCATTCTCTATCACCATGACGCTTATATTGAATATCAAAGTACAAAATAGGACAACCATTTGAATGCCAAGAGTGAAGGTTGAGCAAGACAAAAGTTGAATTGGACTGGAGGAATGACGATTTATCTGGGGCAACTGGAGCTATGAAAGAAATAAAACAAAAAGATTTCATCAAACTTGCAATAGACTTCATTCATTTTCAAATCAATTTACTAACAACTGACAATTCACATAATCGATAGATTTTTAGCTATCAATAAATCGATCACAAAAACATGCAAATATCGATCATCGGTTTGGATCGGCTCACCTGGAGTAAGTCACTTTCAACTAGAAAGAATTTAAAGCGACTTTTGAATTTAAAATTTAATTTGAATGCCGAATAAATTCAGATGAAATTTGAAAAAATCGATTTACCTTAATCGATATCGATCTTTTAGATGAAAAATCGATTAATTAACCCAACTCAAAGAATACTATATCAGAGAAAATTTGTATATCTTGAGATAATAAGCAATTCTGCTAAGAGAATCGATTAAATATCGAAAGCAATGAGTTCAAAGCGAGTTCAGCAGAAAAGAAATGAATCGTAAAACAAGAATCGTCTGAAAAAATGCTCAATTAAACCTCAGAAAGCAAGTGAATCCATAGAGTTTATCAGTGCAAGATGATTGACACATTGACCAACTCAAGGTGAGAGGATTAACACTTAATACCACTTATCATGTCAACAAGTTTAAACATGATTATGATTTTACTTTCATCTTTAATCACAATTAATCATGTTAACAAAATAAAGCATGTACCAATGAACGAAAAAAAACATCAACAAGAAAATAATAACTACAATAGCGCAACCATTAGATTTAATTCAATTTGAAACACTCGACAATCCCATGAACCTTGAACATTTTCTGGTTCACTTGAAAGTTTAATGAATTTGAAATGGAGACAAAAAAGGACAAAATTTAAGGTTAACTTAATGAGAAACAAAGGGAAGCGAAAAAAAGTTATCAAACTAATTGCAATTAAAGTACGCTTCAAGTTATTTGGTTAATTATAGATTGTCATTTTCACCGAAAGAAAGAGTGAAAAAGAAAAAGTTGAAGAAAAAAAATTTCTAAATTATCCAATAATTAAACTCTTTGTTAATTAGTATTTGATGAAATTTGTTTTTTAATGGCAAAGTCGAACGGTTAATTTGGTTAAAAGATGCGATAATTGAATGAATGAACAGATTAATCAATTTTCAATCTTGAAATATTAAGACAAATTGAATCACTTCAATTTTCATTAGAAAAGATTTTTAATTTTCAACATTTCCATTTGATTGTCACTGAAGTGTTGACAGTTTAAAAGTTTTCAAATATTTCTTTAGAAGATGAAATTAATGTTGAATTTTGAGTTTCCCTGAATACATTATGAATATTGAAATCAGATTCTTAATTGATGTTATTTTGGAAAAGGTTGAAATGAGTCAACTGAATGGATTGATGATTCTGTTCAAATGTACTTTCAAATGTAATTTTTTCACTCTTTTTGCTTTTTTTGATAAATGAATACTGTTGAACATGATGATAATGAGCATTTCAAAAGCTCAACCAAGCAAAATGCATTTATAAAGGTAAATTACCAATTCTCAATTATGATGAAAAATATGTTCTCTTTGTTTGCATATTTAAAAGGGAAAAGTGACAAAAAATCGAGGAAAAAAATTTGATAAATTTTCGTTCATTTTCTCATGGAAACAAGGTGAAAGGTTTTTCCAGTTTTCTGAATATCAGAAGGTTCTTCAAGTGGAATTTAAACTTTTGAATAAACATCATTATTTGAATTGTCAGTTGATGTTGAATGATTAATATGGTAATGCAATGTTACCTGTTCCTTCGGTTCGAGCAATTACTGTATCACTGTGATCACCTTGTCCAGCATCGTTGATGCCAAGAACGTAAATTTGATATCGAGTACCACATTGAGCACTATAAATGGTGTATGAAGTTATCGAACTGACTTGCTGTGAAATCCATTCTTTACCTTCCGCTCGGTAAAAGACTAGATAACCTGAAAAATGAGAAAAAAGTGAAAAAGAAATGAAAAGTTACTGAAGTGGATATGAATCGGAGATGGAAAAGAAAGTTTCAAGAATTTCATGGAAACCAAGTGCATGGAAAACAAGGGTTTATTTGAATGTAAATGTTAGGATAAACATGACAAGATGAATGATAAATAACATGAAACTATCACTTGCTTTTGATTTGTTGCTATTTCACTCAAAGTTGAACTGATTGATTCCAAGTTTAAAGTTAATCATTTGATTATTTTACATTATTGCAACAAAAACTTCGTCTATAATGTATTGATCATAGCAATAATCGTCACTGAAGTTGACTTTCCTTGGCCTTATGTTATGTACCAAAATAATCGATTTTTGCAAAAATATAAATGTAAAAATCGATTTTTATCCGATTGAAATTAATCGATTTGTATTATTTCTCATTTCACTAGATAGTCTACTTGGCTCTTAAGCTAATATTCATAATTTTAATTGAGGGTGACTTCGCTTACGAACATAAGAAAAAGATTGCTTAAAATTCCGTCTCATTAGAATAAGCTACATCACATTTAATCGATTATTGTCCAATGCTCGATTTTTATTCTCCTACAATTAATCGATTTTGCTTTAAGTCAACATTTCAACTTAAAACAATATCTATGCATCAATGTTTCTCTGTGCTCAGTGTTGCTCTTTACCTGTAACTGGCTCATCTCCGGTTGGCTCCCAGGACAAGTCAATGGTCATTGGTGTCGAACCTAGTATAGTTACGATTGGCGCTTTTGGTGCATCATATTGAAGTGTCTCAGCAGCCAATGGATCACTAAAGGGTCCATCACCTGCCATGTTGAATCCTTGCACCTTAACCTCATACCTAGTCAACCGCTCCAATCCTCCTATTAAGTACTCTTCTCGACCATTTACTTTATTTGGTGCAACCTCAATGGTCTTAATGAAATAAGGCGAGTCACTTTCCGCTTTTCGGTAGGCAATATGGTAGCCTGTTATCCTTGGCTCCTTATCACCTTCAGGAGGCTTGGGTGGACTCCATGAGACCTTAAGCACACTTGAACCTCTAGGAGTGATTCTCACATCTTGAGGTGGGGAAACGGGCTCTAAAAGTTTCAGTAAATAAAAAAAGAAAAAACAGAATTCTCATGAATATTGAAAAGGAAATTCTTTTCACTTAAAATTCTTTTTAACCATTTAATTAACAATTTATCATTCTTCAACATGATGGATTCTCAATGAATTTTTCTAAAATCCCAGAAAATCTCTCTCTCAATTGAACCTAAAAATACACTTTAAATAATATCTTATCACATTATTCAAGATTGATCAGGGAGTAAATGATGGTTGAAACGAAAAGATAAATTTTATTATTCAACGAAAAATATCAATATTTTATTACTTAAAAATGTTTTAAAACGATGAAATCTTTTAAACCAATTCTGTACCAAAATAATCTCCTTAATGTTAAACTGAATAGATAAATGATTATCGTACGATTATTGAACAGAAACAGGAACGAAGAAGAAAAAAGAGACAGAAAAAGCAACTTAGCATTTCCAAACAATATCCAATATCCATTTGAATTAAATAAATTGAATGAGCAGCTTAAGTTTTAGAACTTAAAGTTTCCCAGAAAAAAGAATGCAAATTGTTATTGAAATGAATATTTCATCGGATTGAACATGAGTGCGATCAAAGTTAATTGCACAAAATTTTTGCATAAAAGTCGATGAATGATAATCTTTAAACTTGCAAGAATCGAAAAGAAGAAAAAAATCGAAAGAAAAGAAAAGGAAGAAAAAAATGTTTCAATAAATCTGTTAATTCTCCAGATGAGATTATCGATCAACATTTGTAATGAAATTATTTCCATCAAAAGTAATGTTCAACTGGGAAGCTTAATTTAACCCATCAAATGCTATTAATATTATCGTCAACAGGGAATGACTTAAAATAGAGATTCCAATTAATTGAATTTTCAACTGATTCAATTGATTACAAATAATTGCATCAAAAGCCTAATATTATCTCACGCAATTCCATCCAGTTACAATGTTATCAACTATCAAACTGCTGGGAGTGAAAACTCCATCATTACCAATGGAATTGATAATTTCAACTTTTTTTTCTCCAACAATTTTAGGAATGAATTTTTCATTAAACGAATGTTATTTAGTGTTTGACATTTTTTGCCTTCTTCTCTTTCCCTATGTAAATAGTTTTCAACTAATGAATGTTAGTGTAAATGTTTTGGGCTGATGAAAAGGTTGACATACCTTGAACTTAGGTAAGCTTGAAAAGTTAATCGCTGTTAATTGTTCATTAGAGAGAAAATTAGTTTCTAGGTGATTAAGAAACAAGAGTTGGATTCGTTTTTTTTCTCTCTCTTGCAACCTCTTTTTGCCTTTTGCTTAAAACAAATTAAAACTGTACCCAAAGCCATTAGATTGGGTTAACCTAAGGACCTTCTTGGAGGAAAAAATTTACAGCACAGTTTTCGTGTTCATCTTTCGTTCATTTCGGTTTGTACTTATTTTGATTTGACTTTTTTTTCTTCGCTTCTTTTTCTTCTTCTTCTGCATCAATTGGTATTAAGTTTGACATTAAAGGTAGACAGTGAGGAACATCAACAACTTAGCCATGTAAAAAGCAAATTTCAACAACATCAACATTTAATTCAATTCTGTCTTCTTTTTTCATCTAAATGCATTCTCGAAAGGGAATTAAAGTCTTGTCTTGTTTGCTTCGAGTTAACTTTTTCTTCTTCTTCTTCTTTGTAAACTTCTTCTTTTGCTTTCTTTCGTCTTTAATCTTGAACTCTGAACAGCGAAAAGATCAACAAGAAAATGATTAACATTTCATCAACTAATCTGTTTTTTGTTTCTCGTTTCAAATCAATTTGACTTTTCTCTTTTTTCTCTCTTGTTTCATATAAATGCTTAGTTTAAGCTGTTTAGCTGTTTACAAATTGATTGAGTTGTTAAGTTTATTTTGATTTATATAATATAGCTTTGTGTATATCGGTTTAAGATTCAAGTTCAAAGGAAATTATTGAAACAAGTTTGGCAGATTGAGATGGATAAAGTCAACTATTACATGATTATTGAAGGAAAATCAATCAATCCTTGATGGGCTACAGAGGAAAGAAAAGATGAGCACACAAAGAAAAGCATTGAATTTAAGTAAATGGGACAGTTAATGCTTTTCTTTCCTTCAAGTTTCCATTTCTTTCTCTCACTCTTTACGATTATGTATCATGAAAAAAGTATGCATATAATAGAAGAGAGATGATGAAAGATGCCAAGCGGAACTAAATTGTGCCCTAAGATAAAGTTAACTAGAAAATGATGGAATGAAGAAAAGGAGAGGAAAGCAACGATGGAATGAGAGAGATTCAGCCTCGAGCACATTGATAAAGGTAGTTGAACTAAAAGAAACGAAGTCAATCGAGAAACAGTCAATTGCAACTAAACATATTTACGATTTACTACCCAGACTATGAATAGCAAGTCTCCTGATGATCGCTATGGTTGTCCATAGCATCTTGAAGCACATTACTCTGCTTAACTTGAACTTTTTTAAAACGTTCTGCTTATTCGCAAATTGAAATTGCATATCTTGTTGATTCTGTATGAGTCAGAAATTTTCATTTCGACTTCAGCTTATATCGAGTTTTGTTCATTTGTTTGAATCTATTTCACTGATTAAGAATAGGAAAAGTCTCATCGAAAAGAATATGAAAACTAACAAAATTTAATTTACGAGTAACAGACCCAAGACTAGGACCAGCAAGTCACCTTATGATGGTTAGGCTGAGGTTGTGCTTAGCAGCTCCAATAGGTTTTACTCGTAAGACTGAAAAAGTTTAAACTTGTTCTTAACAGTTGTAGCCTTAGATATTTGCGAATTGGAATTTTGTTTCTCTTGTAATTTAGAGTCAATCAGAACTTTGAATTTCGATTTTAACAGGCATAGAACTCTTAGAATTCTGTTCAAATCTATGTTACTGATTTGCAACTGAAAAAATTCCATGAAAAAGAATGAAAATGAGTGAAATTTGAATGGAAAATCGGATTCAAATGAAATTAAGGGAAAATTAAATTTGTGCGAAAAGTATCAAAATCATTGGAAGTGAAGCTGAATCTCATTGGAATCAATTGTTCTGAGTTTTTTCGATGAACTTGTTAATTTTGTTGCTTTCCATTTTATTATCAAATAAAATTGTACAAGTCGAGTTGGAAACATTTTGATGGTGAATAAGGTAAGAATGCTGAATGTAACTGAATGCAACTGAATGTGTTACATTTGAATGTTTCAATCACCGATTCTAGACTAACCTGATTATCCTTGAATTTCAATGAGAACAAGTGAAAACTGGAAAGCATACAAAAGTAGCTTGAGGAAAAATTTGAAATAAATATCAATAAATGCTCATAATCGATTCACCCAAATGTACCTTTACCTTCAAGTTATGTTCATGTTATTCACATCTTTCATCATCATCATCATAATTTCCTTTTTTTCATTCAAACACTTTTCTCTTCTAAATCATTTCTACAACAAGACAACATCATTTTTTCTCACCTCATCACGTTGGATAAAAGATTCAGTAGCAACAAAGGCAGAGAAAAAAATGTCCATGATAATGATGAAGACGATGAGAAAAGATGAAGATGACAAAGATAACTACAGAGAATGGATTCTAGTGAGTGTAAACTGGAAGGGAAAAAGAAGCCAAAAATGCAGTTAGATTCAGTTTAGACATTCCATGAGTCTGTTCCATTGAAACTTGAGGTAAACTAACTTTTAACAAAAGTTATTTTTCATCTTCTTACTTTTAATATTTACAACTTGATCGGAAATAGATTACAGTGGCATTGATCTGAATACAAAGTGATATACAAACAACTCTTTTCACCTTCATCTTCATCTTCAATTTCATCCTTCTTTTCACTTCTTTATTTGTTATTCTCGATTTTTATCACATTTTCATTTTCTTCCTTCCATTTGCCTTTTTTTATCAAAATTCAACTTTCCTTTACTTTTGTCTCTTTTGAACAACTTTGTACCGTAAAAAATCGTCAGCATTCAACTTATCGAAATTTGTAAATTTTCTTCTTCACTTGTTTTCCTTTCTTTTTCAATTCCAACATTTGAACAGTAAAAATATTCATTCATTTTTTACCTTGATTGAACACGAATTCAATTAAACTCACTGTGACAAATAGACAGCTAAATCAATGGAAGAAGAGAAGAAAACTTTTTTCTTCGTTCGATAGTTTGCTTTTGTTTCTCATTGACAAACCATTTAACTTAATGTTTTTCGAATCTTATTAAAACTCAATTTGTTCATTTCTAAGCAATTTGGAGAAAAGAGTTGAGCAAAGTTCTTTGATGGAGAAAGAAAATTCTGTTACAAATGATTTTCTATTCAAAGTTTAGGCTTAACCTCAACGTGAAATTGATAATCTTGTGTTTATAAAATATTCACAAATGAATAATGGAAGCTCAATTTGTTTCAACTTTTCTTGCCATGATTGATGATCGCATCTCAATTGTTTCGAATCATGATATTGACAGAATCCAGGATTTGATAATAAATGATTTGAATAGGTCAAACTTGGTCTGGTCAGTAACCAAATGATGAGAGTTTAAAATTGCAAGTTAACTTGAAAGAAAGTAAAACCAGTGAAAAGTAATGTTATTTCAATAAACAATTTCATTCATCAAAACTCACTTGAAAACAGACTTCTTCACTCAGTGTACTTCAATGTTTCAAAAATAATCTGTTACTTGCTAAACAACTTGCAACCATTTATCATAGTTGAATGAAAAATTGAAAAGTTGCAAAATTGATTCCAAGATTTACATCAATAAATGGTGAAAAAAACTCGAACATTGACCACAGAAGACAAAATCGCTTCCAAACAGTTCAAAATATTAATAAATAAATCGAAATAGAACAAGCTTCCTAGTTGAATAATGGAAACTTCATTCGAACATGATTTGCGAAATTCGTTGAGCGAAGCAAATCTTCCCTGTCACTCAATGCTACTCTTTATCATAATAACACTGGCATTGCGATTCTAGACTCCGATTATTTCAATCTGAAGTGAACGAACAGAACGGCGAAGTTGTTTGAATTTTAAATTTTCTTTCAAAGATTTTTTCTTCAAATCTTGACCCAAATTTATCGGTTTCAACAGAAAACTGAATTTTGGAAAAATCTGAATTCGGGAGGAAACTTTGCTTTTTTGCGTTCTTTGTTTTTTACTGTTTGGTGAACATTGCATTTTTGTTACGAATCTTTTGATTCTTCTCGTTTAGTTAAGTTTAATTTGAAGATTCATTAATTCAATCGCTCGAGTCATCTTCTGGTTGAAATGAAATTCAATAAACTTGAAATTGCTTTGAAATGAAGTTCTAATCAAGTCTGAGTGAGAATCAAAAGTGTTCAAAGTGAGCATTTTTCTCTCTCCCAACTCAACTCTACAGGGAATCTGAAGAAAAAATTCATGAAAATTGTATTTTTTCTGAAAGACTCGGCATAAAAAAACATTTTCTCGCCCATTCAAGCTCCATTAAATTTATCATTTATCTGTTTTCTTCTCTCACAGACAAAATTATCTTTCATTCCATGAAATCAAAATGGCAATTCGATGCAACTTGGGAAATGTTGTTGTTTAAAAGAAAAATGTTTCAACAATTTTTTTCGATTCTCACAGAGAAGTGAATGAATAATTTGAGCAAAAAAAGGTAAGCAATTGGTTCAAAACATTGACTCATTTGATTGAGTCTTTGGCAAATGCTAGAAACTGACTGAAACTCAACTAGACAAGAAGAAAAGTAAATCCCAAAGCTATCGAGTTACATTCAATTTCGAGTTTTAATATTTTTCTTTCTTTCCCATTCTTCCAATTATATTTCCACTTTCAACTTGATCGCTTGTTTAGCTTTTCTCGTGCCAATTATTTGAGCAACTTTTCCTTCTTACTTCATCATTTACCTTTACCATCATTATCATCACCTCCCAGTGTGATACAAACCAGAAAAGAAGAAAAAACTTCATCCTTCTGTTTTTTTTCTTTCTTTCTTTTCCATTCGTTTTTCTTGAAAAGAATAAAACATTGAAACTGAAAATTTTGTTCCATTCTTTATCAACTTTATCATCATTAATGAACTTTCATTTTTCAATGTCGATCAAGTGAAAAGAAATGCTGTTCAAGAAGAAAAGGTAAACTCAAAGAGTAAAACGAAATTGGTAAAAGAATAAAGTGAGAAAATCTTTTATTGAGTAAAAATGGTTTTCTTCTGTTGGCCAAGTAAAATAATAATTTTCATTTTGTTGAAATTAAATTTTCCAACCATCAAATGGGAATCTAAAGCAACTGTGAACAATCCAAAGGTTAAACGATTGAATCAATTGAATAAAAGATAAAAGTTATAATGATAAGAAGAGCAAATATTAAAGTCAATTTTTACTTCACCAACTTTAAGTAACTAAAGTTTTGACCCAAAATGTTATCACTTTTATTTATTGTCTTTTACGCTCATCTTATTCCATGAGAATTGCGTTCTCATTTCATTCCCTCATTCATCATTAAATGAGTAAAAAAAGTTCTTTTTTCAATTTCTTCATTCTCACCTTTCTCCAAGGTAACCAAGGTAATTTGCTGGGAAGGTTCTGATGAACCAAGAGCATTCTTGGCAATCACTCGAATCTCATAGTTGGTTGTTGCCTTGAGATTTTCAAGTGTAAGTGAAGTCGATAAACTTGAATCGCGAGATTCGCTCACTTTTGAACTCCATCCCGAGGAACCCGTTGAACGATATTGCACAATATATTCAATGATTGGCGAGTTTCCATTATAAGGTTCACTCCAAGTCAATAGGACAGAATCACTTTTAATCTCATTCAAGTTTAAATTTATCGGAGTCTCTGGTGGTTCTTGAACAATCAATCGAAACGTTTTCTCGGCTGAACCATACGAGTTGGTTGATGTACAGGTAAACAAGGCTGAATCACTTCTATCGACTACACCAATGGCCAATATCGAACCCGAAGCAAAATTTTCTTGTGAACTTTTCTTATTCTCATCCAATCTATATCGACCTCCAATCATCAATTGATCCAAATCAATGTCATCCTTTTTCCATTGATAGACAATCGGCTCATCACCTGAAGCATTGCATGATAAACTCAGAGAATCTCCTTTCTTTACAATTTTCGACACAAAAGTTGAATCGAAAATGGGCGGACCTGAAAGGTGAAAAAAAGAAAAAAGTAAAATTCTGAAAATTTCAACATCGAAAATGATATTCCATCAAAGCAATTAACAGATAAAACCATTTCATCTCTTGATTACCCTGCAAAGGGAAAACAATTTATCAAACAATTAAACTTGTAATCTCATTACAAAATAATCTTATAATTCCAAATTGAATATAAAAAAGAAATTCAATTCATTCCAACATTTTTCACTTTTTCCATTTCAAATTATTCCAAATTGTTATAAAGAGTTCAAATTTATTATTTTGTGTAAAACATAATCTTATAAAAAAATCTCATTTGTTTCGAAAGAAAGAAAAAGTTATTTTTTTCTATTCATAAAAAAACACTCCCAGCCACTTGGAATGATAATTCTGTGTCCATTAAATAATAATAAGACTTGCGTGATTATTTTCAACATGAAAAGGAATCAACAGTAAAGAACAAAAAAAATGAACTTATCCATCACTTTTCATGTTAAACATATTTTTGAATCCAACTTGTTATCCAAACTCAGGTTATGACATTTTACTTGAGATAAAATGATAAATAAGATGCAATAAATTGCTTAAACTTTCCATTCCTTACCTGGTTTAATAGGGACCCAGTCAACAGTTTTGAGTAAAAAAAGAATCAAAATTTTTGCTCAAATGCCACTTTTACTCATTTTTGACTCACAGTCATATTGAACCATTTTTGAGCCAAAATCTAGTAAAAACGGTTAAATATTTACTTTTAAATTATTCAAAAGTAAAAAATTTGAGTGAATTTTTACTCATAATGGACTCATTTTTGAGTCCATTATGAGTAAATATGAGGTCAATGCGATGATTCACGAAGCAAGAATCTGTTTACTCAAGTGCAAGATTCTTAGTATTATTCAAAATACTGGCCTATGAATATCTAATTTCATCGAAATTTGCAATTATTCAGCCTGCGAATCTATCGAATCAAAATATTGATCTTTAATTTTTCTAAATTCTGAATCAAGCAGGTAAGATTTCAAGATTGCTTGATTGACAAAACGTTGATTTCTATAATTGAATAATTCTGAGTTGTGATTCCCATTTGCAAAAAAAGATTTATTGTAATTTTGAAAATATAGAAAAAAGTCAAATTCAATTAGAAAAAATTATATTCTATTCAAAATTCAATTTTCATTCTCTTGGAAAATTTCACTGCTCATGATATCTGAGATCCATTGCTCCTCAGAATTCTCATCATTTGAATTATGCGCTTCGTTTACATTCGCTTTTGAATTGCGATGCTTTTCTTGATTCAATTGACACAGCACACGAATTATTCGGGATCGTACTTTTGATAATTCTTCATTAGAATATTTGGAGAATCCTGCTTTCCGAAAGATGTGATCTGATTTGAAAAATAATATAAATTGTATTAGTGGAAAATTCAAAAGAATCCGTAAAATGAAATGAAATTTGAAATACCAAAGTAAGAGTCGATTCTAGCTTGACCTAAATCGAAATCCGTTTCACCAGTAAAAGGTTTTTCGAGTGGATTTTCGAAAGATAGTACCAGAGCCAATGGAATTTTTTCCTTGGGATTTTTGTCAACAATACAATTTTTGAAGTCTGAAAGTTCCTCGTATGAAAAAATTCGTTTTCCTAGCGTAACATTCATATAGTAATGTTCTGGAAAAGCTATTCTTGTAAGTTGATACGCTATCGAACATGGATTATCGGCTTTTGCTAGCTTCATTGCCTTTTCATATAAATCGTAACGGATTGGAAATTTTCCCTCAAGACAAATTTGATTCTACAAATAATTGAGAAAATTAGATTAAATTCAAACAAACATGGAAATTCAATTTCTTGGAAAAACATACCTTAGATTTTACTTTGAAAGTCTCATCATTAGAGCTTATAACATTCAAATTCTCCTTGACTATTTTGTTTTTCTCACAAAAACATGAAAACATTTCATCCATTGTGTCAATCACTGATCTCAATATAATTCCAGTGCTATCGATTTCAGATAAAATACATTTTTTCTTTTTCAATTCACTAATATTGTTAGAAATCGTTTGAATTCTAGATTTGAGGTTCACCCGGAAATCACCGTGGTTGTCATGAATACTGGTACTCGGAGAAGGGGTCTTTTGATTTTCATCTCTTTTCGATGATGAGTCCTTTTCTGCGTTTTTACTGATTATATTTGTCATGTCAATTTCGTTACTTGAATCTTTGTCTGAGGAACATTTCTCAATCGTCGTTGTTGCTTTAGCTGGTTTCTCTTTGAATTCAGCTGGAGACTGGAAAATGCTGATTAATTCGTCATATGTCATATTGATAAATGGTAAATCTTCATTATCATCTAATGAAGTTTCATCTCTATCTATTTCAACTGATTCACTGGTATAATTTATTATCTTTTTCAAAAATCGCCAGGAATTATTCTGTCTAATATTCTCAGATAATGAAGCTTTTAAACAAGTCAATGTATCTGAAAGGGAATCAGAGAAATTCATTAATATGAGAATTCAGTTAATGTGAAATAAATGTTTCAACTCACCTCCCGAAGCAATGATTCTAAAAGAAATCTTCTTTTTCTTGAAATATCCGTTGAAAAGATTAGAAGAGTCATCTTGACTCCATTGCTGATCCTCAGATATTCCTAAATCCAGAAAATTCTTTTTGTCGATGCTCATTAGAATTGGCTGATTAGAATTTCGTTTTTTCTCATCTATCACTAAAGGTAATATTACGATGAAACACTCACTTCTACTTTCGCTGCTTTCAATTGAATCTTGAGTGAAAGATTTCTTCCCAGAGGGAAATTCAACATTTTTTGAAGCACTAGTAGACAAATGAGCAGATTTAGATTTCTTGATTTTTGATCTTAAATTATCATCACTTTTGTAGACATCGAGTGGACGGTGTTTCGGTTTCACAGTGAAAGAATCAAGACTTGGAAATTTTGTTGACTTTTTTGCACGAGTTGATTGCATTATATTGAAAATCAAACAAACACACTTGCGATTGGATTGCAGATTAAAAAATTTATGGGAGAATAAATCAAAAAATGTTACAGGAACAGGAAATGAAAACCAGAGTGAAAATTGAAAACCAGTTTTTGGAAATTTAACCAAAAGAACCAATAGAAATCACGCAATTTAAAATTGCTTAACAATTGTATAATTTTTTAAAACATTTTAGTTTTTTGTACTGAATTCAGTTTGGGGAGGGATTTGAAGGGGAAAGTAATTGATTAATGTGGGAAAATGTAATTCAAATTGATAGAAAAAATTCAAAAATAATATTCTGGTTATCATAAAAACCTGGATTTGATTATTTTCTCCTTAATTTTTGTCTGGAATGCTAGCCATGAAGCGCGACATTAATTTCCGATTATTTTGTAGCTTTGATAAAAGATCACGTTCATATTCAGAAAGATCATCATCACTTTCTGGATTCTTAGTTGATTGAGAATCACAGTCATCAGCTACCACCCCAGGAATTTTTTGAGTGAGAGGCTCGAAATCATCAACTTCTTTGACTTCGAATTCACATGGTATATCTTGCTTATTCACCTCTATCTCGTCTTTATCTTCCTCTTTCTCCTCTTCCTCTTTTTCCTCTTCCTCTTTCTCCTCTTCCTCTTTCTCTTTTTTCTCTTTTTTCATCTCTTCCTCAGCCTTTTTGTCTTCAATTTCGTCGAATTTTCTCTTCGGAGTTGATGTGTGAAGTGGAGAAGCTGGAGGGCTATTTTCAACTGGGAAACTTTCAGTGTCTGCATATCCTGGTGATTCAGATTGAATTTGTTGCTCTTGAAAATTTTCAAGGTTTGGCAAAACTACAACAGGTGTTTTATTTTTATCTAATTCAGTCTTAGAATTAGATGACAAATCTATTCCCGAGTCAGAGTTCTGGCCCTCAGGATTAGGTTCTGAGCTTGGATTCGAAAAATCAACAGAATTCAAAGGCTTTGGTTCTGATTCATCATTTTCTAGATCGTCTGAAATTCTGTGTGAATTTGAATTCTTTTTAGGTTTGATGATTTCACTCACTTCGTCTTCATCCTCACTTGAAGCCTCGTGATTCATCATGACCTCAAAAATATTAGATTCTTTGGGCTGAGTATGGTGAGTGCCTTTTGCCTTCGTCTCAGAAACAGTGGATGTAGGAGGATGAATAGTGAGAGTTCCTTTCACCACTTTTCCTATTCGATCAACTTTTGGTTTAGATTTGACATTTTCTTTGAGTTCAAAGAAATTTTCACATTTACTTTTTTTAACTGCAATTAATCTGCTCCGTGCGTAATGCATGGCTTTTGAAAGAGAAGAAACTAGGATCTTTTCAGTAGATTTGTCGTATGATTTTCGACCACTGATCCTAACGGCATGATCTGAAAGTAGAAATAAAAAACTCAGAAAATATTCTATTTTCGAATAAAATAAGATTCTACCTAAAAGTGCCCTGAATCTTGATTCTCCGAGACCAGGCTCGGTTGGTTCTTGTAAAGGCATTTGATGAGGGTCGCAATGATTCCAAATATTGATTAATGAAACACGCCCACCAGATCCTCTCAAAGTCACATTATCAATCCAATGATCTGGAAATGTGTATTTAATCAAATTCGTGATAACAGCCGCTGGACCAAAGTCTAATTCGTCTTGTTTGGGATTCTTACATTTAATTGCGGCTTTGTATTTTCTTGCTGGCAATGGTAAAATTCCTTCTATAAGAATTTTTTTACCAACTTCTTTTGTTGGATCTTCCTCGCTTAGAAATCTCAACTCGTCCTCATCATTTGAAAATGATTGATATGCTTCAACACTATCAAGCGAATCGACTTGTCTTACGAGAAATTCAAGAATGTTGAATGTTTCTGCAATAAATGTTCGACCAGCAGGATCAGCTTTAGGATGACTAATTATATTTTTTATCTTTTCGAGACTTTGTTGGACTGCGTCTCGATCAGAATTTCTCTTAGAAGCTTTTCGATCAGAAAAATCACGTTTGTTGGAATTG